TGCAGTAGTACAATCATGGCTCATGGCAGCCTCTCAACTTCCCCAGGCTCAGGTGATCCAACCTCAGCCTCCCAAGTAGCTGGGACTATAGGCATGTCACCACACCCAGCTAATTTTTTTTTTTTGAGACAAAGTCTCACTCTGTTCCCCAAACTGGAGTGCAATGGTGTGGTCTTGGCTCACTGCGCCCTCTGCCTCCCGGGTTTAAGAGATTCTCTTGCCTCAGCCTCCTGAGTAATTGGGACTATGCCAGTTACTCATAGTCCCAGTGTGGTGGCATGTGCCACCACTCCCAGCTAATTGTTTTTGTGTTTTTAGTAGAGATGGGGTTTTGCCGTGTTGGCCAGGCTGGTCTCGAACTCCTGACCTCATGATTTGCCCACCTCTACCTCCCAGAGTACTGAGATTACAGGTGCGAGCCACTAAGCCCAGCCAATTTTTGTATTTTTTGTAGAGATGGGGTTTCACCATGTTGCCCAGGCAGGTCTCAAACCCTGGGCTCAAGCAATCCTCCTGTCTCAGTCTGTAATCCCAAGTGTTGGGATTACAGGCGTGAGCCACTGCTCCCAGCTGCATGTCAGAATGTCAGAATTTCCTCTCCTTTCCTTTTTTTTTTTTTTTTTTTTGAGACAGGGTGTCACTCTGTTGCATATCTCACTTTAACCTCCAGGTATAGCGCTCCAACTCTAGGACTCAAGTGATTCTCCCTCCTCAGTCTCCCTATGTTGCTCAGGCCAGTCTCAAACTCCTGGCCTCCAGCAATCATCCTGTCCCTGCCTCCCAAAGCTCTGAGATTACAGGCATAAGCCACTGCAAAAGGCTTTATTCCTTTATAAGGCCGATAACAGTCCATTGTATTATCTACTACATATGGCATATGGAGACCTGACACTTACGAGTCCCGCTCCTATACTACCTGGTGGTTCCCTGAGCCCCTTACTTGCCCAGACCTGCCATAAGCTCTAAATCCTGAGTGATCCAGCCTCCAATATCTTAAAACTGGTTTGGAGATGCCTTTTCTTTTTTCATCAGTTGATGGACAGTTGGGTAGTTTCCACCTTTTAGCTATTGTGAATAATGCTGCTATGAACCCCTGCGTACAGATATCTGTTTGAGTCCCTGCTTTCACTTTTTTGGTGTATATACCCAGAGCTGGAGTTGTTGGATCATATGATAAGTCTATATTTAATTCTTGAACTCATCATATTTTAAGACTAACAATAACAAACATAAAATTTCTCTGAGTTATTCATGCTCAAACCCATAGTCAAACTGATCCAAAACCAGTAGCCTCCTTGGAGTCCAGAAGCTTAGCAGTGATCAGACATGGAATGTTCCAGAAGTAGCCACAAAGGAAACTGTTCCAGTGGCTGTGGGGATGTTTTGCCTTGAGGTGAGCAATCAGTGCCTGGTGAATTTAATAAATAGAGAAAGTCTAAGCATTTGAAGGGCATCTCCACTCTCCAGCTTAATTAAAAAAGAAGAAGATGAAGAAGAAGAGGAGGAGGAGGAGGAGGAGGAGGAGAAGGAGACGAAGAAGAGGAGGAGGAGGAGGAGGAGGAGGAGAAGGAGGAGGAGGAGGGGGAGGGGGAGGAGGAGGAGGAGGAGGGGGAGGAGGAGATAAGAAAAAAGGCATAAACCAGAAAGTAAAAGCTCAGATGTGTTAGAAAAGGCATCTCCAAACCAGTTTTAAGATATTGGAGGCTGGATCACTCAGGATTTAGAGCTCATGGCAGGTCTGGGCAAGTAAGGGGCTCAGGGAACCACCAGATAGTATAGGAGCGGGACTCGTAAGTGTCAGGTCTCCATATGCAAGCCTGGAGCCTGAAAGTCTGAAGCCCTTCCTGCCTCCGCTGATCAGCTGATTGTCTTCCACCCACTGCCTGCAGTTCGCCATTGTCCCTGATCTCCCAGGGGAGCTTCCCGGGACAAGCCCTTCACCCAACCCTGCCATCTTAACTGTTCTTATGATAATGTGAATACCTCTCACCCATCCTGCCATCTTACCTACTCTTCTGCCTCATCCCCACCCGCCATTGTAACTGAATTTGTGGTCATGTATACTCCTTGCCCCTACCCCCCACCACTGTAACTGATCTTACTCTGCAACACCTCTGCCCCCCCAAAAAACTACCCCAACCTATAAAGCCAATTCCCACCTTACCCCCTTCGCCTGTCCTTTCTTGGATTCGGCCCACTTGCACCCAAGTGAGAAATAAAACAGGCTTGTTGCCCACACAAAGCCTGTTTGGAAGATCTCTTTATTAAATGTATTTAATATTCAGTACTATTGGATGCAAATATCAGTAAGAATGGAAGCAGGGGCAGGTTTGACCGCAGAAAGTTTCCAGGTGCAGTTTAGGTAAGTGGTGGTCTGTATTGTGTCTGAGTCTGAGACAGATCAAACTAATATTTCAACAGTTTGTAAAACACCATAGTTGGAGTAAGGAAAGTGACACACAGAGGATCTGCTCCACAGGGCCTAGGCTTAAAGAATGCTGGAAAATGCTAATTTTTATGGTAGTTATTAATGCAATTTACCCAGTTTCTAGGACTCCACTCTCCTTCCATCTAATCTATCCTACACACCCCTGCCAGACAAATCTTTTAAAATCACCACTTGGGACACAACATCTCATAGCTCAAGCTCTTTCAGAGCTTTGATTGATTGACTGATTGAGACACAGTCTCGCCCAGGCAGGAGTGCAGTGGCTCAATCTTGGCTTACTGCAACTTCCTTCTCCTGGGTTCAAGTGATTCACAGGCCTTAGCCTCCAGAGTAGCTGGGATTACAAGCACCAGCCACCATACTCAGCTAATTTTTGTATTTTTAGCAGGGACAGGGTTTCACCATGTTTGGCCAGGCTTGTCTCGAACTTTGGCCTCAAGCTATCCACCCGCCTCGGTCTCCCAAAGTGCTAGAATTAGAGGAATGAGCCACATGCTGCTGGCCCCTTTATTTATAATCACTGCCTCGAAAACTGGGATAAGAGTAGCTCCAAGGCCACTGACCTGAGGGGCAGGTAGCTCCAAGATAAACCCAGGGCAGTTCCTGTAAAATGTTTAGGGACAAGCATTTTCCATCAAAACAAGCATGAAGATATTAAAGAATATGTTAACCCAAAATATCTGAGACTGGTCTCAGTAAATTTAGAAAGTTTATTTTGCCAAGGTTAAGGATGTGGCAATAATGGGAAGTCCTGATATGTGCCCAAGATGATCGGGGGGTACAGTTTGCTTTTATACGTTTTAGGGAGATACGAGATACCAATCAATATGTGTAAGATGTACATTTGTTCGGTTTTGTAAGACAGGACAACATGAAGTGGGGGCTTCCAGGTTAGAAGCAGATAAGAGACAAAAGGTTGCATTCTTTTGAGTCCTGGATAAGCTTTCCACAGAATAATTTAGTCTGGCTCAGTGAATCTGTATGTTCACACAAACAATAGGGAGGAGGGAGCAATCGGATATTCTTTTGTCTCAGATGAGCCTCAGAGGGATGGCTTTGAGTTCTGTCTGTCCTTCCTCCACAAGGACTTCCTGTAGGCAAATTGTGAGGGAGGTATGTAGCTTCTTAACTTTGTAGCTATCTTATTTAGGAACAGAATGGGAGGCAGGTTTGCCTGACATGGTTCCCAGATTGACTTTTCTCCTGGCTTAGTGATTTTGGGGCCCCAAGATTTATTTTCCTTTCACAAATACTATAAAGGAGCTTGCTATGGACTGCTGCATCTTTGCACCCAGGCACACTATACTGTACTTCAAGAAGTTTACTTCCTCAGGAATTGAGGCACCACCTTGTTAGAGTTTGGGAGGAGGTGACAAATAAAGGTTAACATCCAAACTCCTTAAGCTGGGCAGGTAGGACAGTTTTCCACTGGGCCCTCCAAGCCATTCTCCCACCTGGTCCCTGACCTACAAAGGTGAGACCCCTTTGTTCTTTAGCCCTTACTGCTTCCGTTTTAGCCAAGCCATGCTGCACTTTTGAACAAGGCATCCCAGCTGTCACTTCCTCCAGCAGTTAACCCCTCTGTCCCTCCGTTTCCTCAACTGGATAACGGTAGGGTTTATCGGGAGGATGAAATGAGTTAATAAGGGTAAAGCACTTAGAACAGTGCCTGACTGGCAGTGAGCTCTCTGTACGTGGTAGGTATTCTATTGTAACTTCCCCTACCTTCTCCCTCTTGACTACAAACCACTTGCTGTAGCCAAGCCAAACCCAAGGGATCTTTTGCGGCACCAACTCAAGAAGACCCCACCCCACTCCTCATTGGCCAATTCAGATCCAGCTCATACGTAAATGATAAATTGAAAGCCTGAGGACATGCTTTTGAGTCTGTTTGATCATGGAAACTGACAGGTTATCAGTAAGGAAAACGAAGTATAGCGGCATATTGGCCAGTCTCAAATCCCTGAAAGGTGCAAACGTTAAAAAGTGAAAAGGGGCCGGGCGAGGTGGCTCACGCCTATCATCTCAGCACTTTAGGAGGCAGACACAGGAAGACTGCTTGGGCCCAGGAGTTCGAGATTAGCCTGGGCAACACAGCAAGACCCCCATCTCTAAAAACATGTAAAAATTGTCCGGGTGTGGTGGTGCTCGCCTGTAGTCCCAGAGACTCAGGAGGCTAAGGCAGAGGTTCCCTTGAGTCCAGGAAGTCCAGGCTGCAGTGAGCCGAGATTGGGCCATTGCACCCCAGCCGGAGTGAGAGCGAGATGCAGTTAAAAAAAAAAAAAAAAAAAAAAAAAAAAAAAAAAAAAGGTGAAACCTAGGTTTTACCTGTGCCTCCACGCCCCACTGTGCCCTCCCTTGCCCATCCAGAAGTCGCCTTGAGGTTCCACGCACGGGCGGCTACGTCCCACCTTGGGCGAAGGCCGCCGGCCGTGCGGCTTTGGGAGGAGGAGTGGCCCCGGCCCGACCCCAGTACCTGCTCTCCCTCTCGCAGTCTAGCAACTGTCTTTGGCCCAAGTAATATCCGCTCCCTTCCCGTGGCGACTGGGGGCTAAGCAACCCGAGCGGGCTCTACTCAGTGTTTTCGAGCCCCCCACGCCTCCAGTGAGCCGCAAGCGACTTCCACCTGGGCCAGTCCGGCCTCCGCGTCCCGGGCCGGTCCCCGCACAGGGCGGAGCTGGCCCGGCCCGGAGCTCGCCCCGCCCCGCCTCGCCGTAAGCTGACCGTGTGGCGGCCGGGCGGGGGCCTGGCAGGGGAGAGAAGGGGAGGAGAAAGGAGAGGAGGAAAGTGGAGCCTGGCGGGCCGGAGGGAGGAAAGGAAGGGGCGGAGGCGAAGGGCAGAGTGTGCCGGCGCGCGGGGGAGCCTCGGCGCGGGGCGCGTCTAGGAGCCCAAGTCGCGGCCGCGGAGCGGAGCCAGCCCCTCCCCTGCCTAGAGCCGACCGCCAGGGCCGTCCCGAGCCGCGACACCCCAGGCGTCCCGGCCCGCCAGCCAGGGCAGCCGAGGCCCCGGGACTCGGCCGTGAGCGCTGCGGGAGGGATGGTGGCGGCGGGGCGCGGGCCAGAGCGGGCGCCGTGAGCCGGAGCTGCGCGCGGGGCATGCGGCTGCGGCCGCGGCCCCCAGCCCTCGGCCCCCGCGCTCCGGCCCCCGCCCGCCCGCACGCCCGCCCCCGCGGAGTGCAGCGCCCTCGCCGCCGCTGAGGCAGGCGCCCCACCATGCCGCGGGCCCCAGCGCCGCTGTACGCCTGCCTCCTGGGGCTCTGCGCGCTCCTGCCCCGGCTCGCAGGTAAGCCGCGTCGCCCGCGGTGCCTAAAGAAACTTTGTCGCGCACACAGCCGCGGGCGGGCGTCTCGGAGGGGCGGGGAGCGCCCCCGGGGCAGTCCCTGGTGGGCCAGTCGCTTGGGGACAGCCCCGCTGGGCTCTCCCGAACTGCGTGCGCCAACCCCGGCGCGCAGTCCCGCCGGGCTGTCGGGAGTCGCCTGTCCCCTCCCGGGCTGAGGAGGAGCTTCCCTTCCTGTGTAAACAGCCCGGCCCGTCTGCTGACCTAGCCCGTCCGCGCCCGCGCCCAGGGCACGGGGAGGACCGCCACCAGCCCTGACTTAGGGCCCGGGCTCTCCGTTCACGGGCACAAAGCGACCCTTGTGGCCGGCCGGGGACAGGCAAGGGGGGGTGCTGCTGGTGCCCGGTTCTCGGGGAAGCAAGAGAGACTCGAAGCCCCAGCCAAAGCCCGGGGCCACCTCCGCTCCGGAGGGCTCGTCTCCTGAAACGCGGGGGCACAGGGCCCCGAGCGAATCCTGGAATTCGCTGCGCCTAGACCAGCCGCCTTCGTTTGAAGATGCAGCCCTCTCCCCGCCTGCTTCCTCCTCACCCTCACCCAGAAAACCGCAAACCCGAGGGGGAACCTGCGTCCCAAACCGCGGCCCCACCTGGGACTGTATCATATTCCTTCTGCCCGACTTTCTCCCGAGATTTGCACACACTCCGAGCCTCACACTCCCCTAACTGTGGTGGATTCTGGAGCCGAGGACAGGGGCTGTGGAAATTGCCTTAGCCCGACGCTGTCGTGGGTTGGCATCTGCGAGGATCCCTCGGTTACCTGCTCTTAGTTTTCGGCGTTGAGAGAGGACCAGACGTGGCAGTTCGGAGGCCCTCGAGGAAGGATGCACTTGTTTGGGATGCGGACTTTCTCCTTTCCTTTGGGAAATAAGAGTGCTCTATTCACTTTCCAGCCGGAGATACTCGATTGCTCTTGTGAGCCAAGTGGTTGCCTGGATGCCAGAGGGGAGGACTGTTCCCCCAGGCTGTCTCATTTACATGAAGGCTGTGGAGGTTTAGGTTTAAGAGTGGAAGAGGGGTCTGAGTAAACAAAAAATTTGTTCAGACCCTACTTAAAACGTAATACTGTAGCAAGGTTTTGTTTTTAGTTTTAAATGGGAAAATAACTCCAGAGCTTGGAGTAGATGTGTGGATTCCAAACACCCATCCGGCAGCCAGTGCCCATCATGGATATTTTCATGGGTCCCTAGGGAAAGCAAAGAGAAGGGAGAAGTATCCCGCAACACACGGGAATGTATTGTTGTCAACACTTCCCTGCTCCACAAGGACTTTCCTTTAGTTTGAAAGTAGGCACTTTTTCTTTTTTGGGGGGAAATGTTCCTTTAATACTTTTTAGTGATAATAGATTTTAATTTTGGCAAAATAAGAAAATCTGGCAATCCTATGTTAACCTCCCCTTCTCTTTTTCTGTTTCTTTTTTGTTTTTAAATCCTAGTTTTCTTTGAAAATCAGAAGTTTAGAAACTGCCAAAGGAGATGGCTTCTAAGTTCCTCTCCAGCTTGACATTCTGTAATTCTGATAAACAGAATTATAATAATTTCCAGTTGCAATTTTTTTTTTTTAAGTCAGAGTTTCACTCTTGTAGCCCAGTCTGTAGTGCATTGGTGCCATCTCGGCTCACTGCAACCTCCACCTCTCAGGTTCAAGCGATTCTCCGGCCTTAGTCTCTGGAGTAGCAGGGATTACAGGCACCACCAGCATGTCTGACTAATTTTTGTATTTTTAGTGAAGTCAGGGTTTTACCAGGTTGGCCGGGCAGGTGTTGAACTCTTGACCTCAGGTGATTTGCCTGCCTTGGCCCCCCAAAGTGCTGGGATTAAAGGCATAAGCCACCGTGCCAGGCCGCAAATAATTTTAAAAAAATACATTATTTTCCACTTGCATCGTGCTTTCTGTTTTTCAAAGTTCACATCTTCACAGTGATGTCCATTTTCTCACCTGGGCTCAGGAAGGAAGTGACTTGCCGTTCCCCTGTACTTGGATCAGGAGTGGTGAACCAGGGACAGGGTTGGTCCAGTGCCCTTTGTCCTATCTGACTCAGCGTAGGGAGGAGAAAAACACTGAGCATCGTGGTTCATTTGCAACTCTTTCGGGTTCCCTTTTCCCATGGCTCATCTCTCTCTTTTTTTTTTGAGACGGAGTTTTGCTCCTGTTGCCCAAGCTGGAGTGCAATGGCACCATATCAGCTCACTGCAACCTCTGCCTCCCAGGTTCAAGTGATTCTCTTACCTCAGCCTCCTGAGTAGTTGGGATTACAGGCATGCGCCACCACACCTGGTTAATTTTGTATTTTTAGAAGAGACGACGTTTATCCATGTTGGTCAGGCTGGTCTCAAACTCAGGTGATCCGCCTGCCTCGGCCTCCGAAAGTGCTGGGATTACAGGTGTGAGCCACCACACCCAGCCTCCGCCCATTTCTTTGACCACCGGTTTTGATGGTGGTAGTGGAGCAAGCCATGTCACTGGCCTCCAGAACTTGCTGCTTACCTCTTAAGGCCGCGAAGCTTCTCAGGGTTAGCAGAGGCTGACTCACATCTGTGTGATGTCTCCTAGTTTCTCCGTGTTGCTGAATTAACTTCAACATTCTGGTATTTTTTTTCTTCCCTCACCTTCTTCTTGAAGCACTACGGGTACTTTATTCAGGGTGTGTTTCTGTCTTGCTACGAGAAACATGATTTGAAAGAAAAAAACTTACTCCGAGAAAAGAAAGGTGACCCTCAAGGCCATGCCTGCCAGGGTGTCCCTGGACCAGTGGCTGAGTGGCTCTCTCTGTTACTCTAACCTCACTTTCATCTCAGTCAGATTTCCAACGGGAAACTGACCTTAGGTTTCAGGGACTTATTTCAAACAAGTCCCTGGCCGGCTGACAACCCCTTCCCGACCCTACCAAGGGTTATCTCCTGCTCTCTCTATTAACTTATGGCCAAGAGACTGCAGACCGAACCCTAGGACCTGGTCATCCCACAAAACCAGGGCTCTCACTGAGGTGAGGCTTTTCCACACTGCCTTTGCCAAGACAGAGAGGAGCACCATCTTGATTCTGCAACACCACTGGAATTATGTGTGCTATCACATTCATTTCTTTTTAAAAAGCAATCAAGTGTTCTTCTAGTGAACGCCCTGCACATCCTAAAAAGCTCTTTGTTTTATTTAGTGGACTCTTGTTGTCAGCACCCTTCCCCTCCCCCTCACCCCCTACCACATTTCCTGTGGTCTGTGATGGGGTTGTTGGAATCTGGCCGTGTCTGCAGCTCTTCGTAGCTAACCAGGCACTGGTTTAGAGCTGACAGGACAATGAAATACAAACAGCACATCATTGGTCTGTAGACTGCTGTTTATCCTATGGATTTACATTTTAACTCCATCATCCTTGAGTTGGGGGAGCTTTTTATAAAGGGGATGGAGGCAGAAGAGGGCAGGGTTTAATTAGCTCTAATTAGTATTCCCCGCCTGCTTGTTCTCCATGCTTACTTAGCTACTGAGGCAACGGGGAATTAAAATATCTAAGTAGTTTGGCAAAAGGCTCTTTGTGCCTGTGTGCCCTGGTAACTACTTTTTCTTCTGCAGCCTGGCCATGGAAATATTCTGAGATGCTTTAACGATATCAGTAATGTGGGACAATTACATGCCTCTTAATAATAGGACCCCTTTCACATGGCAGTGTGCAGCTGGGTTAATGGGATAGGGTCTCTTTTCACAGGTATTTCCAGTTGGCTGGAGCTGAGGGCCTTGGAGAGCTGACTGCCATGGTTTGTTTTCGTTCTTTCCGGTTGGAATGGGATTAATGGCCTCTATAAATGTAAAGGAACGCTTTATTTAGAGGCGCCCATTTGTTTCTGAGCTTCTTGCTTCCGTTGAATGCAGGGTTTGCTTCCCGGGCCACTTGGTGAAAAGTTTGTTCCAAGACAGGCTTGACTCATCCCCTAAGGCTGAGGCTTTGAAGGCACTGCAGGGTAGCCTGCCCTCTGTTTATGTGATTCCCTTCCCAACTCCAGCCAGACGTTTTCCGAGCTAGTTGTCTCTTGTAGAGCTGGGATCTACTTCTGCAACTTGTTCCCTTTAGTTATTCTCAGCTCCCACTCAGAGTGATCCTGAAATCCAGCTCAAGTCAGATCATGTCTCTCTGCTTAAAACCTTCGAACGGCTTCCCAGAGTCCTGCCAAGCTCTGTGAACTCTCCTCCGACTTCCATGGCTTTCCTTCCATGTGTCCCAGAAAGCTTCCTTCACCACTTTCCCTTTGCATCCTTTGCTCCAGCAGCATGGGCCTCCCACTGTCCCTCCAGCATGCCAGCCGTGCTCCCACCGCAGCCCTTCTCCCTGCCTGGAATACTCTTCTCCAGGATATCTGCATGACTGGCTTCCTCCACCCTGCAACCCTTTTCTTAGCATCTCCTGCTCAGCCAAGTTTTCTTTGGCCACTCCCAGCTAAAGCTGCAGCCTCTTCCCATGTTCTTTTCATCTGCTTTCCTTCTTTAATTTTTGTCCTTAGCACGCATCACCATCTAATGTAATTACATATCTTACTCACTGTCTATTTCCCCTAAGTAGAATTCTCCCTCAGCCAGGATGTGAGCTTCGTGAATAAGGGAGTCTTGTTAGGTTTATTCATCTCTGCATTCTCCGTGCCTAGAACAGTGCCAGACACATATTTGTTGAATGAATAGGGGATGAACCTGAGTCTTGGTAATTGGGAGGTGAAGAGGGGATGCATCCCATCCTGAATTCCCTGCTGCCTTCTACAGCTAGCTTTGAAGTCAGGGACTATGAATGTGGCGTCTTAGGAAGAAACATCCTGGGAAAAAGAGATTCTGTTGGAATGTGTCAGGATTTTTTTTTTTTTTTTTTTTGATGGAGTCTTGGTCTGTCGCCCAGGTTGTAGTGCAGTGGTGCGATTTCTGCTCACCACAACCTCTTCCTCCCAGGTTCAAGCGATTCTCCTGCCTCAGCTTCCCAAGTAGCTGAGATTATAGGCATGCACCACTGTGCCTGGCTAATTTTTGTATTTCTAGTAGAGATGGGGTTTCTCCATGTTGGCTAGGCTGGTCTTGAATTCCTGACCTCAGGTGATCTGCCCGCCTCGGACTCCCAAAGTGCTGGGCTTACAGGCATGAGCCACCATGGCCAATCTTGTGTCAGGATTTTTTGAGCTGGTGTGGAGGCCATTTGGTCCACTCCCTGAATTGTTTGCATGAGGAAGCTGAAGTAGGTGAAGTGACTTGCCCTAGGTCATATAACCAACAAGGACAGAACAATTCCTTGGATCTTTTATGCCCAGGATATCCTGTTTTCTTTTCCTGCATCCGTGGGTAGAGTAGAACCATCTCGTCGTCCTCCTGCTCTCATGGCCCATTCCATTAGAGAAACTAGGGGCTGCAGCTGGTCTGTCTCACCTGCGACCTGGTGAATTGCCCTGGCCTCATTTACCTCTGTCCCTGACACAGCCACAATGCTTAGTGCTCAATTGATCCCTCCTCTCCTCCAAGGATTTTAATGGCCTTAGAAAAACTTTATTTAAAATATTTTGGCTAGGCACAGTGGCTCACACCTGTAATTCTAGCACTTTGGGAGGCCGATTCAGGTGGATTTCCTGAGGTCAGGAGTTTGAGACCACCCTGGCCAACCCAGTCTCTTCTAAAAATATAAAAATTAGCTGGGCATGGTGGCATGTGCCAGTAATCCCAACTACTCAGGAAGCTGAGGCAGGAGGATCACTTGAACCTCGGAGGCCGAGGTTGCAGTGAGCTGAGATCACGCCACTGTACTCCAACCTGGGCAACAGTTAGAGACTGTTTCAAAAATAAATAAATAAATAAATACCTTTACATATGTACCTCTTTTTCTTTTCCTTTTTTCTTACTTTTTTTTTTTGAGATGGAGTCCCGCTCTGTTGCCCAGGCTGGAGTACAGTGATGTGATCTGGGCTTACTGCAACCTCTGCTTCCTGCGTTCAATCGATTCTCGTGCCTCAGTCTTCTACGTAGCTGAGATACAGGCATGCACCACCATGCCTGGCTAATTTTTTGTATTTTTAGTAGAGATGGGGTTTCATCATGTAGGCCAACCTGGTCTTGAACTCCTGACCTCAGGTGATCTGTCTGCCTCAGCCT